TTTTAGGATTTGTAGAGCACCTAGTCTCACACATTTTGTAAAATTTTCAGCCTCACCGGACTTAATATAGCCGAGATATTAAGAAAACAAAATGAAAAAACGTTATTCCGTCACGCTTGGACTGGCCAAAATTTGACGCGGGAAATGTCATCAAACTTATGAAATCTGTGAAGACAGAAACAAAATGTATTTCTCATTTACGCAAATCGTTTTCTTTGTGTAAATAAATTATTATCAAATTTCAATAATTTCAGAAAATATATGATAATAATTATTAGAAGACTGGAATGTCATTTGAAAAAATGTATAAATATATTTATAAGTCATGCCAAACGCTGTACTATAGTGTTATTAGAAACCAGATGTTCATGCATATTAGTAACCTGGTATGCATGTATTTACGAATTTTATTAAAAAAACTTTTGAAACATAGTAACTAAAATCAATTTTATCACTGACAATCTCTGTCGCAGTTTGTATAAGAGCTCGTAATAAAATCGGGATCATCAGATTATGAGAAAATGCATTTCATTCAAAGAAAAGATCTTTGCCAAGAATCAAACACTAGTCTTTCAGTACAACATCGTATAAATTCGTAGATAAACTGTTCACAAGAAATAATAATTCAGGTATTATCTATCTGTGCAACACAATACCAATAACAGAATGATATTTCATCACTTTTTACTCTCTCGTATATGTATCGCACACTCCATAACCTTACTAAATTTGAGAAAAATATCCAGAAATATAGTTTAATTAGCGTATGTTGTAATGATGAACACTTGCACCGTTCGAATAAGACCTTTTCGTCGTCAACTATACGCATGTTTATCAAACTGGCAAAAAATCACCAATTAATCGTGATCCGACAGAGACTGTTCGTTAAAACATCGAACAGCCGGATCATTTCTGTAGTATTATTTACTGAGGATCTGATACCAGTATCAATACTGCTCTGAGCATTTTTTCAGCTTCTATTTTCATTTTTCTTTCGAATTTTGAACTTCAATGCGTTCCATGTACTAATAAAAGTCTTAGCTAACTGCGCCCATGCAAAAGTGAGTCAGCGAAAAAATCTATGTCCAAAAGTAGCTGAGCTGCAGCGCCAATTTTTTTTCGTACATAAGTAGTGTAGATTTTGCACTTAATACTGTTTTTCTGCTTATCATATGTTCACACACAGCTTGAAAAATATTTTAGACAGGCGAAATGTATATCTTTCAACTAAGCACGGAAAAATCTCAAAAACTTCGATAAATCATGCTACTCTTATCTATGTATAGTGACTGCAAAACAAAACTTTAATAACTTTTATGGAACCATTGTTCGGCTTGTAAACTGATTTATAATTTGCTCTCAATTAAGACAATTATTATTTAGCTGTTTATTATAAAATAAACTATCATATTTATCGTCTAATTGATAGATAGATGATATTGGCAGAGTGACGCTAGCAATATATACTTCAAGAAATTTCTCAGCAAAGACCACAAATGTGTCAGTAATCGATTTATCAAGAAAAACTATAAAACTGAAACTACACTACAGTGGTTTAGACTAGTGAAAAAAGCTGCTTATTTCATTTACTTGCGTTAGAAGATTATAATTGATTGAATGAAAATTATAGAGAAAGAACTGAAACGACAAACATTGTTCAAAATGTCACGATCAAACTCCCATGATCAAGAAAAGTGGCAACAATCGCCATATGATGATAAAAATAGTCAGTTATCACCCTCGTCTAGTACCCACTGAGTCGAGTTTGATGAGTGTTTAGAAAAGTTTGTATTATTCTAGTTGTGATCGATGTTTCTCACTTAAATATGGTTCAAGTTTTGATTTAATATTTTCCTGAAACATCTCCACTCCATTCTCTCTCACTGGACTTAGATAACCTGGTGTGTATACTCCACTATTTAAATTTTTCTGTACCAGTTCACATATTTGTTTATCTTCTTCAATAGTAGTTTTATCTATTTCATACGATTGTTCAAACAGTTTCAACTCTTCATCTGACTTTGTTTTTCTTCCTTGCTTTTGAAAGTATGTGAAAGATAAGATTGTCTTATCGTATGACAGTGGTATAATGTGTTCAATTGACATTGCATATTCATACAGGTTCAAAGCCAAATTTGGAAAGAGAAATGCCCATATATATTTTTCTTGAAGGGAAGACGATGAGAGTGATGCACGTGATGGACAATAATGAATAGAATACAATGTTGAATAGTTGGTAACGGTATAGTGTTTTGTATCGATTTGTGAATTTAACCGTGGATGCACGGTCCAGATATGATATGGATCTTGATAGTTTTCGCAATAGGTTTTCCAATTACAGTTCAAAAGGTGATGACTTGATTTTGCATATTCATAATGTTCTAAATCAAATTGTTTCATTTCACTTGCTAGTGGAGCTAATTTTGATGATAATGCGCCCTTATTGTTTTTGCTGCTTTCATTTATATTAATAAATACAAGATGATCAAATAAAACTTCTACTGCTAATTTTTTTAATGCTAACGATTGTTTCTGCTCATCAGTAAGATCGACTCCAAAATGTGGTGTTGCTCGTAATTTTCCTTGATCATCATATAACCATGCGTGATATTTACATTTCAATTGCGACTGCGTTCCACATGTAACAGCGTTTGACATGGGAACGATAGGTCCAGCTCGATGTGAACATTGATTGTGAAATGCAACAATCTCATTTGATTTATTTCGATACAAAAATATAGGATAATCAGCTAATATTAGTGAGAGATATGAACCAATTGATGGTAATTGAGCCACATGGCCAGCATATAGCCAGTCGTTACCGAATATATGCTGACGTTCGAGAGAATAGATTTCGGGACTAGTATAAAATGATGCTGGCAATGGGCGACTAAGTCTTCCCGAGTCAGTAGAGATTAATCTATTAAATGACGCGAGTGATAGTTGACCAAATAATTTTTTAATCAACATTTCATCGAAGGGATAACGCAACCTAAACGTTTGAGAAAGAGGTGTAAACTTTCTAGTTGAGAAGCGACTCGTGTTTCTCGAGTGCTTTTTATCTTTATTCACAGATAACCTGCTTTCTCTAAAGAGATCAACATCTTTTTCTTTTCTCTCAAGGACCTCTTTCTTAAAAAAGAATCGTTTTTTTGTATCAGAAGTTCATATTTTAATACAGATACCAACGAGCAATTTGACGGCTTGTCCGCGTAACACGACACTTCGTTGATTAAGTATTTAAAACTTTTTTATTATTCGAGAACTGATATGAGTCACTAGATCACTAGATGCAGTTTTTCGCGCTGATTACGAATCCGACCTCCTTAGCAAATAAAAATAAAAATTCCAGTGGAATAATCAAAACATTTGTTTATTGACATTTATAAGCCTTTTTCTGTCACGTCCGTCACACACCGAATATCCCTTCCCAAAACCGTAAATATTACCCAAAATTTCTCATTCTTTTACCAGAGATAGAGGACAGTGAACTACACAAAATGGCGGTAGAATCATCCTTCTACCTCTTATAGTTTCTATAAAAACTGAAAATTACTATGTCAAAAATGTCACACTGTTACGTTTGGACAAGCCGTTGAACTGGTTACATTCAGAGTCATTTTCTATGGCTAACAGTTTTAATAGAGTACAGAATGGTTTGTCAGCGATTCTTCGTTCACTACGATACGTTTTTCTTCGTAGTGTACATTCGAATAAGTTTATCTGAAAGCTAAGACTATTATGCAGCGTTTGACGCGTATGATTGTTGAAAGATGATTCCGCCTTGGATAACTCTGCTAATCGTTGAACATCAATAACTGACTTTTCACCGTTTGACAGTTCTATCGAACGGTATAATACGCTAAAAACGAGATATTTTTTTTCGATTCTAAAAAGAGCTTTATGAGTTTCTACGATTAGCCACATAGGCCATTTTGTAGAGCAAAAGGAGCTCTAGGAAACAACACTAGTACATTTTTTATCAGTCTTTCGCTACCACGCTTCGATTCGAGTATAGAATTTTGGAAACTCATCTTTCTTTCTTTTTTTCGGCTTAAACAAAGAGAATACAACGGGCAGTATATATGCGAGATAATTTGTTAAGTTTGCATCAACAATAAAAAAGAAAAAGCTAATCTACACACATAAATAGAAACCGAGTGGATATCACAAAAACAAAACACGAAAGAAAAAAATTTAGTAATAATAATATTGACTTATAATCTTTTTCAAACCGAAAACAGAGCAGTATACTATACTCATCGTGAGTATTTTAATGGAGGTATGAAAGATACTTTTTAAAATATCATATAAAAATACTTGTTCGCTCAGTAAAATAGTTTATGTGTATATAACTCGATATTCTCTACTAACCGGCACAGGTAAAATAGTTTTTCGGATCCGAAGTTTGGACTTCAAAGATCTTCGACTTGAATATGATAAAAAAGATGTGCTAGTGCTATTTCGTCAAGAGAGAGGTCTTGGTGTAGAGGATGGCATATGTCATTGGAATTGATGGCATAGCCCGGTAGTTATGTTACATAACCAAAGAGAGTATGTTTGAACTTCGGCACAACCTTGAGCACGTTATTCATGCCTTAGTGCCTCGCATCATCCGTCCGTTAGCATACTCACCGTTGTGATGTACAACACAGTAACCTTCAGTTAGTCTTTGTCACTTTCCGGAAAAATAGTATAAGAAGAGCTCTAGCAATTGAGTGAAAATAAGCTTGCATCAGGTCAGAACTACACTTGATGACTACTGACCGTAAAAAAAAACCAGTGCACTTAGCCATTTTATAAATAACTCAAGAATGATAGATGATAGAGACATGTGCTCTTCATCAATCGACAGAGGACAGATTGACTTATGTTTTCATAACCATTTATTTTATCGATTTCTTTTCATACATGGCTAGCTCAAAGTGCCCTGTACAAATTAGAACCTAAACAAAAGTTTCATTTTGCTTGGCTCAGGAGTTTTGGACGTTTGCCTCAAAGATCTGGGACTTCTCTATTCTTCAGTCTAAGATTCTCACGAATGCATGAAAACATAATTTATCGACCACACTAAATCTCTTGGCAATGTTAGTTTTGAGAACAAAATGCAAGAACTAGGCAAAAAAAAAACCATTCATAGATATTTTCATCAAAAATTAAAAACTTCATAACTCAATCAAAATCCATCCAAACTACTTCAGAATATCAAGATATGCTCTATTTTATCCGCTCAATCTGATTCTGTACTTGAGATAAATAGAAATATTCTATTAGTTCCGAACGCCTCTGGGAAACCTTTCCAAAACCAAACTGTATTTTCTGGGTTTTTAAAACATTTAGTGAGCTTTGTGGTATACTGTAGATAAAATACAGCATATCTTGATATTCTGAAGTAGTTTGGATGGATTTTGACTGAGTTATGAAGTTTTTAATTTTTGAGGAAAATATCTAAGAATGGATTATTTTATCTAGTATAGGTTTTTACTGGGTTTTTGCATTTTGTTCTCAAAGTTAACATTGCCAAGAGATTTAGTGTGATCAATAAATTATGTTTTCATGCATTCGTGAGGATCCTAGACTGAAGAATAGAGAAGTCCCAGATCTTCGAGACAAACGTCCAAAACTCTTGAGCCAAGCAAAATGAAACTTTTGTTTAGGTTCTAATTTGTACAGGACACTTTGAGCTAGCCATGTATGAAAAGAAATCAATAGACTATTATGCAAAACGTTTTAGTTATAAACTGGTTTTCCAGAGATCCTGTAAAAGACCAGATTTAGAAATCTTTTACAGAGTCGCTTTTGGTTACGAAAATATAAGCCAATCTGTCCTCTGTCGATAGGTGAAAAGCACAGGTCTTTATCATCTATCATTCTTGAGTTATTTATAAAATGGCTAAGTGCACTGGTTTTTTTTATGGTAAGTAGTAACGGCATGGATGACCATGTCCGATGCTTGTCAGTTTCAGCAAAGATAGTGGATTATTGAAATTGACATTCGTCATGATTCTATATCGACAAAGGTAACTACAAGGCGGGTTCTTTTTCCATCAGAATTTGTAAGGTGGCTTCCGGATGAGAAAGAACATAACTTATTTTTAGCGTATTTCAGATACCATTACCCGACAATTGTTGGCGAAGAGTTGATTCAAACTCAATTCAGTAGAAAATTATGAGAAACAAATATATGTATTGACGTGGACTTAGAAGCAAAACATCATGAATAAAAATCGATTTTTAACATCAGTCAGTTTACTAGCAAAATGAAAAATCCATAACTTGTGAACTGCCATTATTTTTCTTTTTTATTATTTGACTTAGCATGCCGAGTACTACAAACTCTGATATTTTTGCGTTGATCCCGGAGGTCCTCTGTAAATGTGGAAGAGTGTTCATGGATCTATCCTATATTTAAGATATTAACCTCATTTTGGAAAATATAATTTCGTTTACTCGATACACCGTCTATTCCAAGACATAAAAATAAAGATCGATTAAAAGCTTGTTAAGATGGAAGAAACTCTTGATGATGTTAATGATTTGAATGCTGAAAAAGCAACAAACAGTGACCAAATCAAACATATTCGTATCGGACTAATCGGAGCAGGAGCGAGTGGTCTTGCTCTATTGCGTGCTTTCGAAAAAATCCGAGAAACAAATCACGTTATTCCACAAATAGTTTGTTACGAAAAGCAGGCTGAATGTGGTGGTCTTTGGAACTATACATGGAGAACGGGACTGGATGAACACGGGGAACCCGTTCATGGCAGTATGTACCGCTATTTATGGTCCAACGGACCCAAAGAGTGTTTAGAATTTGCTGATTATTCGTTTGAAGAACATTTTGGTAAAAGTATATCTTCGTATCCTCCTCGAGCTGTGCTTCATCATTATATCAAGGGACGAATCGATAAGAGTAATGTTCAAAACTATATTCATTTTAATACCGTTGTTCGTTGGGTTTCATATTGTATTGATCGTGAAAAATTTACCGTTACTGTAAAAGATTTGAAAAAAGATACAATGACAAGCGAAGAATTTGATTACGTTGTGGTAGCATCTGGACATTTTTCTGTACCGCATATACCCTATTTTGAAGGTTTAGACAAATTTCCTGGACGTGTTTTACATGCTCATGATTTTAGAGGTGCCGATGAATTCGTAGGAAAAAATCTTCTACTGATTGGCAGTAGTTATTCGGCCGAGGATATTGGTGTTCAATGTCATAAATATGGTGCGAAAACAATAACAATCAGTTATCGAACGCGACCCATGGGTTTTAAATGGCCTTCAAATATGAAAGAGGTTCCACTGTTAATTCGAGTTATTGGTAGGACAGCGCATTTCAAAGATGGTTCAATACAAGAAAATATAGACGCCATTATTTTATGTACTGGTTATTTACATAGTTTTCCCTTCCTTCCTGATGATTTACGTCTCAAAACATATAATCGTCTTTATCCATCTAATCTTTATAAAGGTATTTTTTGGTTAGACAATCCAAAATTAATTTATTTGGGAATGCAAGATCAATATTTTACGTTCAATATGTTTGATTCACAAGCATGGTATGCTCGTGATGTGATTCTTAAACGAATTATACTTCCTACGAGGAAGGAGATGGAGATGAATATTAGAGAATGGCTTGAAAATGAAGAAAAAGTAGTTGGAAAATACGATGCTATTGATTTTCAAGCAGAATATATACGTGATCTATTACAATACACTGATTATCCAACACTCGATGTTCAGCATGTTGCTAAATTATTTAAAGAATGGGAAGATGATAAAGATGAAAATATTCTTACGTATCGTGATAAAACATTTCCATCGGTAATAACAGGAACAATGGCACCAAAGCACCATACACATTGGATAGAGGCACATGATGATACCCTTGAAACATATTTAAATGAACATAGAACATTGTCCAATCCTATTTAAAACACAATTATCTTTGTCTATATTTAGTATTAATTAAGCAATTTATTTGTTTTCTACACTTTTCTTCTTTTTACTGTTTTTTTTTCCGCTTTAACAAAGAGAATACAACGGGTAGTATATGTGCGAGATAATTTGTTAAGTTTGCATCAACAATAAAAAAGAAAAAGCTAATCTACACACATAAATAGAAACCGAGTGGATATGACAAAAACAAAAGAAGTAAGAAAGAAATTCAGTAATAATAACATTGACCAATTGTTGAAACAAATTGAAACAAAACAAATGATTTTTTTTATAACAAAAATAGAAAAGAAGTAGAGAGAAGGACTGCTTGTGTTGATTATATTTTATTTTGGACAAAATAATAATGATGATGATGTAGATGTTGTACGTTTTGGATAAGATTTTAAATATTCATCTTCAGTCAGTTGAAGTACATCGGGTCGATCTTTAACGCTATATGTTAGACAACGTTTTATAAATAATTTTGCTTCATTCGATACTTGTGGACGATTAGGAAAGACAACTTCTTTAGCATTCAAAATTGTCTGTTGATCCAATATGGCTGCTTGAGATAAATTATGACCATACGGTTTTTTACCATAGAGACATTGATAGAATATACCTTAAAAAAGAAAATTTAATACTATAAAATTATATTAAAAATAAATAGAAAAAAAACAAAAATCTGTTACATACATCCAACACTCCATACATCGACTTTTGATGAGATTTTGGGTGGATTTGGACCTTGAACAAATACTTCTGGAGGTAAATACCAATCTAAAATATTTTAAAAGATATAAAAGAGCTAGCTAATTTTAAGATTTAATTTCCATACATGTTCCAGCTCCTTGTGATGTTAAGTCCATGCCGTCAACATCATCATATGAATCTTCATGCATTTGTTTACTTAAACCAAAATCGGTTAATTTAATTTCACCACTTTTTTCACCTGATCCAAGTAAAACATTGCCTGGTTTCAAATCATAATGAATCTGAGAAAGAAAAAAAATAAACAAATCATCATTTATTAGTTAAATATAAATAAATAAGTATGCATGTACCACTGGTGGTTTAATTTCGATATTTAAATATTTTAATCCATTGACTATTTGCATAATAATTGAACGTGCTTCTTTTTCTGGTATGGTTTTATTTTGTTTTAGAAAAAAATCTAAATCATTTCCATGACAATATTCTAATACTGTACAAAAAGAATTTGTATCAATTTCAAATACATCAAATAATTTAACAATACCTAAAAGGAGTAACATAATTGTATAGAACAAATGATAGTCTCTTATTACTCACGATTATGTTCGAGATGTTTATGTATATTATATTCTCGCAGAGCATGTTTAATATAATTAACTTTTTTCTCATCTTTCCATTCTTTGTTCAACTGATGTATTTTACACGCAACATAACGTTGTTCTTTTAGATCAAATGCACGATGAACTTCTGAAAAACCACCTTTACCAACCTAAAGTACATAAAACAAAGATAAAAATCAATTAAAAAGTCAATCAAATATTGAATAAAATTCAAAGGTATATTCAGTTATGATGTTCAATATAGTAACCAGATTTAGAAATGTATATGACTGTCATGGTACACAGTGACCGTGTCATTTGGGTAAAAACAACAAATAATATGAACATGACCTTAAAAAGCAGAATCACGCATATCTCTACATCTAGGAGACGAACCTCCAAAATTGTTCTAATCAAAAACTCTCCTATAAACAGTATTTCTCTACAAAACCTCGTTCTAACCGTTCGAGAGAGTTATACAACACTATCTTTGGTGCCTTACAACTAGCATCGCTAGTAAAAAGCACCCGTCGTACACTTTGTGTCGACGGTAAAAATAAGGTCGACATGCATAGTATAGCTAGTAACATATGAGTAATGACTTGTAAAGACTATTTAAATATATACGTAAGTGTACGGCATTCATACGAATGTATCATCATAATTCGTAGTTTCCTTTTGCACAATTTAATGCAATGGGAAAATATGTAGTTGGAGAAGTACAACGTATGAAAAATTAGCAGATCAAATCTAGGAGAACTTTAAAAAATTTTCTAATCTCTAAATCAGGTATTACATTCTTTGACTAAGATTTCACTAATAAATTCTAAATAAAAACATACCAAAATTAATAATAAATAACGTTCATTTAATATTTGATGTAGATTGAATCTTGAATGATCTTCATTATGTAAACGTTTTAATTCTCGAATATGTAAATTTCTTTCACGATCTAATTTTTCTAAATCTTGTTGTAATTCTACTTCTTCTTTTTTCAATGTCAGTTGTCTTAAACGTAATATTTCATCCTGTTCATACCATTCATTAAGTGTAAATGTTTGTGACGATGAAGAAGATGTTGACGAATTTGAATTTGTATTAGGATCACCAGCACAATTTGAACAAGGAAGACAAAATACATTTGATTCATTTGAATTATCAGATGCAGTTTGGGATGGTTGTTGATTATTCAATGGACCATTATTCATCGTATTAATCAAAGATATTGACTGAACACTATTGACGATTGCTGCTCCTTGATACTGTTTTTGATGCTGACTAGAAAATAAGACAATTAGTCATAAATTAAAACAAGAAGATATAGTGATAATAATGTTTTCTCAACCATCGGTTTCTTACACGTCTTATTTTAGTTTCGATCGTAAAAAATTGCGTGATTCTATTCAAATGAGATGAATGACTATCTATTGTTCCTAACGCTACAAATAATTGAAAAAAAAAAAACTCCTCTCATCCTCACATTTAATCAAAACGTTTATGATTCCAATCTTATACTACAAAACAATTATATCTTACCAGTGATTTGTTGATAATGGTGTTGATTTAACAGGCGGTTTTGCTCCTCTTTTGGCTCTTGTCATAGTCGTTGTTGTAGTTGTAGCTGAATCATTTAATTGTTCATCTTGTTGTGCTTGTAATGCATTTTTCTTCTTCGCCAATAATCGTCGTTGTTTATCGAGTTCTTCTCGTGTTCGTTGTAATTGTTCTTGTTGTTTATTCAATTCTAAAAATGCACAACCATCAATCCAATTTTCAACAAATGATGTTCCTTGTCGTTGTGTTACAAATTGTCCTAAACGTAAACGATTTTCCATGGCTTTTTGTCTTGCTTGCTTCTTTTCCAATGTTGATTTTTCAATTAATAATGACTTTGTCATTAATAAACATTTTTTAATTGTTGCTTGACATGTTTCATATTCTTTTTGTGCATCAGTTTTTTGTTTTTTTAAATCATCTAATGATTGTTGTAATTGAATAATTGTTTGCTGATGATGTTTATCTTCAGCAGGAGATACTGAAATATTATTAATAACAGTAGACGACGGAAGAGATGATTGACTAGATAAAGAATCTGTTTGAACTAGTTTACTATTTGACACAGATGTTGTTGTTGAATTTAGAATATATGAATGATGATATTTTCCAACAAGATGACTATCACTGGTAGATGAGAATAGATTATTGCTATTTTGTTCAATGGAATGTGAAATCGATTGTGATTGTTGATCACCAGGTTGTATTTTACTATTTTGAATATTCACAGTTGAAGGATTGTCAGATGATGAACGAATTGATCGTGATGGACCAAAAAAATCTGATATTTTTTTTGTTATTGGAAGTGGAGGTGGAGGTGGGGGTGGAGGTGGCACCATTTGTGTAATCGTAGATAAATTTTTTTTCAACGAATTTGTTGTCGGAGATGACAAACATGGTTCTTTTGCAGCTATTTCCGCTAATATTGTTGTTTGTTTACGTTTTCGAGGAGTACGTTGTTGAATGGGTGACGATGTTTGTTGAACAGTAGATTGAAAACTAGTTAGTAAATTATTAATGGGACTCGGTGGCGTAGGATTTGCTGCCATTATTCCAGAGTTTGACGAAGATGATGATGAATTGTTTTGTTGTAGTTGTGATGGTTGAACGGTCACAAATCCACCACTGGACATTGACTGCGGCGGTGCGATCAAATGAGATTGCGATGGTATAAAATGATGAAATGGAATTGGAGAAGATGAAGATAACTGATGTTGAAGAATAATTGGCGAATAGTGAGAAGATTTACTTGACGTTAAAGTTGTTCCAATTTGATTTAAATACGCCGAATTTGACGATGATGTTGAATTTGATGATGTTGATCGCTTATTCCTAGATTGATACTGTCTGAAAAAAGAGAAACAAAAATAATATATCAATCACTATACAAACAGAAATGAAGCCTTAAGTTAATAATCAAATTCTAAAAACTTCTAAGAACTAATTATGTCATGATAGAAAGCTGCTATTCACTCACTCTACAGAATTGAACTTATTAGAGTGTATCAATTAAGATCGTTTCATGATTTGAAAAAGGTTCTACTAATCGTAAGAAATATTCTTAATATATGGCTTAAAAGTTTTCTTTGTCATTTTCTATGAAATCTTATCTAAAGTATTCTGACCGGTTGATACCGACATCGAATAGAGGAAGAAAAAAACAACAATTACTCTTCTTTTTAACCATTATGCTATTCATTCGAAGAGAAATAGATATTTTAAAAAACAACAACACCTACATAAAATTAGCGCCTCCAGGAATATCGTTATTAATATTTATTGGTGATTTTATCTGGCAATTATTGTTAACAATTGAGTTATTGTTATTTATAAATGTTTGAGAAACAGTTGTTGGTGATAAATAAAACTGATTGGAATTACGAGAAGAAAACAGACAATTTTTAAATAATTGCTGATAATCAGAAGTAGAGGAATCGATTTTAATCAGTGAAGATGGTAGAACTGTTGAGATTGTTGTATTGATAGTATCTGAAGATGGATAACGATATTGTAAAAATATATTCGATTGTTGGGTTGAAGAAGAAACAATTTTGTTGGCTTGTGTAAATAAAAGTGGATATGAAATATATTGATGTGGTTGATGATTAATACTACTACTATTCATAACGTTTGACGATGAATCGATTAATACCTTAAATAAATAAATAAATAGATGTGACAGGTTTCGTATACTAAATCACCTTTAATCATACCATAAATTTTAATAAAAATGTTTAAATCTTTATCCTATCGAAAATGTTTGAATAGTTAAACTTACAATTTCATATTAAACATTATATTCATATCTTGTTCATTTTGAGATAATACTACAGTATATACACCGTAACATGACTGATACTTCAACATATATATATATGTGTGCACAACTCCTATTTTATTGTACTAAAAACTTCACATAAATTATTTCGAAAAAATTTGATAATAGTTTTACTTCTGTAGAATCGATATTTCAAATTGAAATTCAAACTAGTACTGTACAGTTTCTATTTCAGAAACAGCATTAAATCAACAGTTTTGTATCATAAGATTCGATGATTCATGTTTTACTCTTTGATTTCACAAATTATTAATTAATGTTTAGAATAATAGTAGTCCGTTGTTTTTTTCTAAATCACACAGAGCAAGTAAAATTATATGAAACATTTTTCAATTGAAAGTATTTTACTCAATCAATGTAACATGATATAAATTAATTAGTAAAATGTTAAACTTGTTTCATCTGATTATTATTAAATCACGGTTAATCAGTGATTGTTTTCCACAGTCTTATCAAACACATACATACTTATTCATTCAATAAAAAAAAAAAAAGAACAAAAAAAAAAAAGCACGAGCGACTATTTAACGATACTAAAGAATGACGACTATCAGAAAAATGTTGAAGAAGAGAAAAAATGAACGCCAGTAATCATTTATCTGTCATATGACTACTATTACACTATTACTACTACCATAATTGCCATTACCAATCACATAATCAACAATTCAATCCAATATATATAATTTTTATGTTTGATAAAGGATGTAATTATCAACGTATGAATGAAAATCAATGGATAAATGAGAAAGAGACAGAGGAAGAAAAATAATGTTTTGTATATTATTATTATTATGACTTGTGTGTTCCTCCTCATAAATTATTATACTCGTCAGCATATTAGAAAAACAGTGAGACACATACACCGAACAAATCACACTCTTCGTATAAGAGTGCAAGAAAGTACAGTAGTAAACTGATTTTTTTTTTTTTTTTATTTCTTTTTACGTTATTTCTCTTTCTCTCTCTCATTTCTTTGTCGATCATATGGAAGAGAAAAGCAAAAAGGGAACAATTGCTTGATGATCATATGTTTTGTCAGATAAAAAAATAAAAATAAAAATGTAAAACAACTATTTTATTCGATGGATAAAACAATAATAATAAAAAAACAACAGCACCATCTATTACATCAATTCCAGTTCATGTTGATAAGAAGGATGTATAAAATTTGAATTTTATTTTACTATTGTGTTTTTAACTTTATTTTATATTGTTTTTCATAGAGAACATGTGATAATGAAGATAAAGAAATAAAAAAATAAAAAAAAATAAAACATGTACGTAACGGTAATACGTTTGTCATTCCATTGTTTCTAATATAATGAGTGACCAGTAAGAAATATATGTTACTTAAAAATTTAATCTTTATTAAATGCATATGCATTTTTATGACAGAAACAAAAATATGTAATGCATAAATAATCTCTAGAAGAATTGTTATTCGTTTCGATACTTGACATTTTTATGGGAAAAAAAAAATACATGATTTTTTGAAAAAAAGAACATGAAACATCAGTTGTGAACTAAACAATATACATGTGATTTTGATTCTATTTACATGGGAAAATGCGTATGAAAAATAATCATGAAAGAAACGATTAGGGATTTATAAACACAAACTATTTTTTGCACTAGCATAACATCCGGGACTCTTCTATTGAGTTAACATGAGAAACATGCTATATTTGTCATTAAAATGTATCATCTTACAATGTGCAGGCATATTCCGATTGGGATATTCATTTTTTTCTATATTCTGATCAGAATATAGGAGGTATCCTTTTACTGTTCTTAAACTCGCTATTTATTCGTAAAAATATAAATAAGAATTATCCTTGAAAATTTTAGTATATCACAGTTTATAAATGACTATGACTATTTTTTTTCACACGAACGTAGTACATGATTATCCAGACTATTGTAAAATGTGAAATATTGATCTGCATCAATAGTTGTTGTTGTTTTTTTGTTAGGCTAGATAATAGAAAATAATTTTACTTACCTTTCATATTGATCAAGCACGATGATGTTTGTTGCTGTTGGCTGAAAATTTGTAGTTTGATATCATACCATAAGAAAGGGTTCTTTATTCACAACTATAGATGAATGACGTAGATGTAATAAGAGAAGCAAATACACATTTTAATGATGATGCATTGCCATAATTACTCACGGACATTATTTTTCTATTAATCTAAAAAAGAGAAAACAAAAAATAATCATAAACTTCTAAGATGGGTATGTTCAAGTAAAAGACAAAAAGAGTTGAGACACACAGACAACGAGAAAAAAAGCTTCCATTGAGATTCATAAATCACTCCTTACAAATAACAAGTTATTTCAGTTGTTACTCAGAAAATAAATAATTTTAATTCAGATCAATTCTGTATTTGTATGATTCAGACAATGCTTCAAACCTTCTCTGATGAGTCAGATCCGAAACTATACAAAAGATAACAAAACAAATATGATGATGAATATCTTATATAATTCGTTTCGGAAGTTTTCATCGTGTAAGATAAATTGTCTTATGATGCATGCTCTCTCAAAGTATAGTGTCACGTAACCGAGAATATTACAATGTTACAGAGGATCATCTGTTTAAGATGAACTGAATGAATACTTGAAAATTGTTTTTACCATCCTTATGTTTTTCATTTTCAAAGCAGCTCTATGCACTATGTCTACAATTTCCCATTACAGACTAGAACTCAACAAAAGTCTCAATTATCAACTGTAATATTTTAAGTACTCAAAATGACTATGATTCATTGTTGAGAATTCTAGTTCATATTGGAAAACTGTATGCATTTCAGTTACAACTCTTACAAACACATTGGGATATTAATCCAATAATCAATTTATAACAATGTATCTAAGATCTCTTGTGCTGTCAAGTCATAATAGGAAGAACCCATATATTTAGTTCAGTCTTAGAATGCTATAGTAAATCTTTTCTGATTATTTTAAACGGAATAAAAACAAGGTGTCATAAATATAAGCGAAATCCTTCGTTAGTTTGATCTCGAGTTTTCTTATAAAAAAAGCTCCTTGAATGTGCTTCGTAAAAACAAGTTGAAAGATTCTCTAAAATGTTAAGTCGACAACTCTGATCTCAAATCATATTGAATGACAGTCTAAGCTACCTGCTGTGAGAGGATCAACTACTACATTCAACGATTCCAGCTGCGGTTTCAGATTTGCAAATCACATTATGGATTTAACATTTTGAAGAGTATTTCAATTCATTCCATGAAAAGTTTTCTCATCTCATGATATGAATATTGCTTTCTCAGATTTTTCACCTGTAACAGATTTGTGTTTATATTAAATATATTAGCATTTCGCCATGATCTGTCGTACAAAGCTCCAGACAGAAAATTCTCATTATTTGTTTTTTCTTTCCCATTGAGCTAAATATGGCCCAAATACGATATAGTTACAATTGTCAAAGATAATGAAAACAGTCAACACGAAAGTGCCTTCTTTCTACATATCGCAGACTCTTATGATTATTATAATAGTCCAAAAACTGGAATCTTTCTTGATAAGTAAATTATGTAAATCTGACGATTAAAAAAACGGTTTTTGGTTATAAAAATGAACGATCTTGTGATGACTCATCGCGTTCATCAATAGGTTAGAATAATCTACAATGACATCATATAATATGGTAGAGCCGTACTTTTAATAAAATAAATATTTTACACATTTTTGTCGGAAATCTTAGGTATACAACTTGAAAAGTGAAATTTTCTTTATTGATTTAATCGAATTCTTTAAAAATCGAATTATTTTAAAAGAAATCTGTCAAACACAATAATGTCGCACATAGTCGGCATTTATATTAAAAAGTTTTTCTATTCTGAAGCAAAAAATGATGACTACTCACTTAGCAACGACATCCTGTTGGATGCTTTTAATGGCTGACTTACGACAAGTGGCTGTGTGAGGCAAGAAGACTAACCTATTCTGGCATAAATTTCACTGAATATAATGGATAAATATGTAATTGTGAGTCCGATCGGCGAAGGTTCTTTCGCCAAAGTATATCGAGGCAGAGAAAAGTTTACTGGAAGGGTAAGTTGAACAGAGCTCTACGATAGCTGATATAGATTTTTTTATGTAAGATACTCATGGAACATATCAACGTGAAGAAAAAAATAAAGTTCAATTTGAGTCGCGCAAAAGTGCTTTTTCGTATATAGTACGATAACTCCGAAGATTTTTTTATTTTTGGTGAGGGCTATTATCAATAAAATGTAGAAAAAGGTTTCATTAGAAAATAAAATTAGTTCAAAAATTTTCTGAAACTTTTACTACATGAACTTGATTTTCCTGTCGGGGATATGAAAAAATTTTCTTACGCAGTTTACTGCACATAACTGAGCCTTTCTTTAACTGTATGTGACAGCATCAACACGTATTGAGCTTCAATCGCACTATTGTTTACATATTTGACGTACATATTTTCACGAATACGTAAGCCTGCCTTTCTATTGAGATTTTCTTGCTTGTTATGCTGGTACAGTCTGTTTTGTTTTGCAGACTGTACAAACTGTACATATTCTAATAAAATGTACATAGCAGTCAAACATGAGAGTTTTGAAGATCCGTTCTTATGAATTTTTTCAAACAACAATGATACCTACAGGTAGTAACAGAAAATCACAGAAAATCACAGTTTTTCGCTAGTGAACGTACTTATTCCAAGTACTTGGAAAAATTGCTAAGTAGTATTTTCAAGCTACGTACCTGGGATTAACTTGTACAAGTACTTCTCTTAGATTGAATTACTTGCCGTTAATACTACGAAGTATTTTGTCATAACACTTGCAGTTTACTTGGCAAGTATTTCTCAAGTAAGGCAAGTATATATGTAGTCACAATTTTGCTGTAGAATGAGCGAGATCACAGAACAAAAAACATTTCGAACTGTGTTGCTTGGAGAATCTAAGCACAACTCTACGATAAAGAGCAGGGTATTAAGTGCATTAAATCCTCTTCTCTGATTACGCCACTGATCTCGAAATCGTTTTGTCAATGTGTTAAGTAGTTCTTACACTTAAATGAGTACGCTTAAGTCCTTGCCTTGACTTAAGTTTGCAACCTAATCGTAAGTTAAGCATAGACATCTACAGAATCAATGTGATAAAACAACACACCAAAGTAAAGTAAACGCGCAGTTCAGTCTGTGCTTTATCATGAACTTGAAAACACTGATTGTTCATCACACGCTAAACGATTTGAGATATAAAAACCAGTTAGCTACACAAAACAAAAGCGATCATAAAAAATCTAAGTACAGTTATCGGTTTCTCGTGCAGTTCTTATTCTCTACGCTTAATATAAAACAGATTCTATTTTTAAAAATCAAATTGTACCCAGGACGTACCTCGATCTTCAGAGCAGGGTGGAGATAAAATAATGTTTTTGACGAACATGTTCACAATGTGTATAGAAACGGATAACGATTTTTTTATGGCTTTTTGTAGAGCGGCAGTTTCTAATTTTAAAAAAATATTTTGTTGGAGCAAAAGCTCTTAGAGAGCAGGATGAGGATTACTCCTATTCACTCCCACCCATTTGTTAGGTCTCGAATTGTATTGACAGTTTTTTTTCATAATGCAAATTATCATTCGTAGCCCTAAATCACTTACGGATTTAGTTACTAAAATTTAGCTGAATGAGTATATATTGTATGCGTTAGCATGCGGCCAACACTGATAAATCTTTCCATGTTGTTTTGTTTTATTCTATAGGATGTTGCTCTTAAATTTATTTCAAAATTAGGAAAAAGTGAAAAAGATTTAAATTCCCTTCGTCGTGAAATTGAAATTTTGCGCAATATGAAACATGAGAACATAGTGGAAATGATACATAGTTTTGAAACAAGTAATGAGGTAAAAAAATGATAAATTATTGCTCGTTTTTGTTTAATCAAAAGGCCATTTATTTTTTAGCTTGTAGTTGTAACGGAACGCGGTTTAGCAGATTTATATCAATTATTAGAAGACGATGTTGATTTACCTGAAGAAACGGTTTGTCTTTCTTTTTCTATAATGCTACTGCATCAAATAAACTTTATTTCCTTTACTTCAGGTTCAGAAGATCGCCTGTCAATTAGTATCAGCATTGTACTATTTACACTCTCATCGTGTGTTACATCGAGATATGAAACCACAAAACATACTCATTTTCCAAGGGGGGCGTGTGAAGTTATGCGATTTTGGGTAAGAAAAAGGCTTTTTTTTACAAAAAACAATTCGTCTGCAGAAACGTTTTGTTAACGTTTTAGATTTGCACGAAATATGACAATGAATACAATGGTTTTGACATCAATCAAAGTAAGTTTTCTAAGCTGATACATTTGACTTTTCAACGTTTGATTAAAAGTTCTCGATCTGTTTTATTATTGAATTGTTATTGTTTTTATGCCTTAACAGTTGTTCTCATATTTCTAGGGTACACCTTTGTATATGTGTCCAGAACTTGTTGATGAGAAACCGTACGATCATTCAGCTGATTTATGGTGAGCTACAGATAAAATATTAAGATATGGAATACTTTGATTATTATTGTTTTCTAGGGCTCTTGGATGTATTCTCTATGAAGTTTATCATGGAAAGCCACCATTTTTTACAAATAATGTCTTTCATTTGATTAAAATGATTGGAAGCGGTAATCTAAGTTAACTTTATATACCGCAAACTAATGATTTCTTTAATAGAGTCTGTCAAATGGCCAAAACCAATTAGTCCTAATATGAAAAGTTTTCTAGAAGGTTTACTAACAAAAGATACAGCACATCGTTTAACGTGGCCAGATCTTTTAAATCATTCATTTGTTCAAGCTGGCGTTAAAGGTCAGACTTTAACTCACTCACTTTTTTAGCTCAATATAATTTTTTTATGTAGTACCTGCTTTGTCTGAATCAATTGTTGGTCCGTTGACTATTCCTCCTACAGAAGAACAGAAAATGTTAAAACAACAGCAAATCAAAAGTAAAGGTGGTTCACGTGGGCCATCGAAGCTTTTATCAAAATTTATGCCTGATGAGCACCGAAAGGTTTGTCGCATTCGTTATCACAAAAACAAATTCGTTTGAGATCATTCACTTTATTATTCTAGGAAGCACCAAAATCACCGATAAAGAAAGAAAAAACACCAAAAAAGAAAATTCCAACAAAAGTCGATGAACATTCTACCATTCCGAATGGAGTTGTGGATCTAGTCTCAATTGAACAACCCATATCAGCAAGTGTTCAGCCTGTATCTACCACAATAAAAAAGAAAGAAATGGCTATTGAAAGAAAATCCTCTATTATTGACCAACCTAAACTTAAACCACCATCGACGACATCCGATTCGGAACAAGAAGAAAAATGGTTGTCAGCTCGAGAAAACATATCGCCTCCCATCATGCCAAATGAACATGAACTCGAGCAGTATTCTGAAAAAATCGAATTTATGAACAGCGATCAAATCGTTGAATTATTACACAATAATCATTTTTATACATTGTTAGAATCCACAAATTCATTAGCATTACCGAAAATGTTTGAATGTTCTTTAAGAGGTGCGTCGTTATACCGAAATATGATGAGAATCATTCGCTGCATTCTACAATCAGATGCTGAGCCAGTTTTACTTATAACATTTTCAAATTCAATTCAATTACCAGACTTTCTTGTGAAACATTTGAAACAAATCATGGAACAAACAGTCATTAGAAAAGAAGTAAGATCGATATTTAATCCACTCCTTGTAGTTAGTCTATTTTTTTTGTCTAGCCTTGGTTTGGTCATGTTCTGTTCGATATTTTGATTGTAATTCGTTTATGGTTTGAGCTGATAACAACTGCAACGTTACAACAACTTAATCCAGATGAATGTGAACATTATTTAACAATTGCTCATTCGTTTCTTGAACAATCGTCTAAAATATTGCAGCTAGCACAAGATCTCGATTATAGTTTGTGTTGTGAAACATTAATGATTCTAATTATTCTCTGTGAATCATTTGAGGATTCATCAGCTGAATTATGTCAAGCATGGTATGATCCAGTACGACTTGATCAATGTCAACTATGGTCAACTATTACTCACATGACAACGAATTATAAACATGATATAAATAAACAACCAGGTATACTCACGAATATTCATTTATCTAAAATTGAACTATATTTCTCATTAGGATCCTTGGATGGTGATCAAGCTAGCCAAGAACTATTGTACAGTGAAACACGAATGTACGTTATTGCTATTATGGCTGCATTTACTTATCCATCTCAATGTTTACCGGATGATTTATTACAACCAAAAATCAAAGTAAGCTAACCTAAATTCTATCTGTTTTTTTCTTAAGATGGACTGTAATTCTATTTTAGGTTGCAAATTCCCTTGCAATGAAACTGCTCGAAACAAATTATGCTGTATTTCGTGATGTATGGATTGCACAATTTAAAACACCAAAATGCGGTTCGAATATTCTCAAAGTAAGAAAGTATCATAAAGTTGTAGATTACGTCTCTAAGCGATTTATGTGTTTTTTAGGCTATCTATGGTTTTTGTTTATCGACACCACGTTTTAGTTCGTTCTTACTAGATGGATCATTTGTTTCACACGAGTTATTAGATTTATTACGTGGACAAGTATGTTTAACTAGTACACTCGATATAGTGTAGTCGTTGTCCATTAAAATTACATACTAAGGAAGATCTGTCTGATTGTGTTTCACATGGTCAGCGTTCACTTCACTCTTCTCTAATAATGATCTGAAAGATAATACATTTCCTTAAAGATTTCATTCGAACCTGCAGAATTAGATGAAGCAATCGAATTAGCTATCCAGATCTCAACTGTTTTATTGAAACAAATTGTTTTACAATGGTAAGGACGAATGAAATCTTCGAACTGTTGTGTCAAAAACTAGATTAATTGCCTTTTTTAGTGATAATTTAACACATGTTGATCTTAGATGTAAATATTCGATAAAGGACGAAAGAAACTTTGCGAAGTATGTTGTAGTTATCTATTTTATCTTATTATTGAAATATTTGGAACTCTTGTTTAGAATTCTTCCCATAACATCCCACATAACTCAATTAGCTCTAACAACCCAACTTTTACCGCAACGCGCTGCTTGTGCACTACATCTTGTCTATGCTATTGTTTGTGGGACAAAACCTGAATTAAATCCAGATGAATATATTCAAAGTTTATCAACGATATTTCTTCAATCAGAATGCGATGTATATACACTATCAATGTTAAAATATATTAATTCAGAACATTTTTGTTTTATTTAATTTAGTTCATTGTTCGATTTCCATTTCATCATGGTCTATTGGATGGTGTCATATCACTTTTACTCTATTTTGTTCAGATCGTAAGTACAAGTTGAGATACCGTTATCTATCAGTTTATTATTCAATTTTTCGTCTAGGATCCACAAAAGACTGTTGGAAATTTAATCGATTGTGAATTATTTTTCATTTTATGGCAACAAGTTCGGGCAGCATTTCAATCGTTATCTCCGTCAGAAGAACATGATACTACAATGGAGCGTTCATCAATTAACAATTCAATAGGCACACCAGATTGGATATTGATTTCAAAACATGGTATACATGACTTATTAGAATTGACATTAGAATTATTTCTTCAGGTATAATTGGTTAAAAATCAGTGTTTTAATATAAATTTATCTATTCATTTTTCATAACGTATTTTGTAGCGTATGCACAAATGTTTGAGTATGTTGATCCAACCTGAAAGTATCATGTTTGAATCATTATGTTTGATGCTCAGTAAACAATTGGTCGATCAATTCGAATTAAAGTAATTTTGAGTTAGGAAAATACTTTAAAAAGTTAAAATTAGTATATAATTCTATTTTTATTTTAACAGTAGATCAGATGGTAAATCATCATTAGTCGTTGAAATTGTTACATTGGTCTGCAATACACTCATGTTTCCATTTTCAATTGAAACAAGTGATGTTTTCTTGGAAAGAACATTAGAGTAAGTATAAAAGTTAGAAAATATTATTACAGTCATCTCTGGAAATTAGATCTTTAATCAATTTGTGAATGTTGCGATCATATACTATTTCTTCTCATTTTTCAGACTATGTCAACGATTCAAACTCATTCATAAGCTTCTTACGATAACAGTGTCTCATTTACCAATTTCACGAATTGAAGTTCCGATTGGTCTTATTGGACAATTAAGCTATTATCAAGAAGGTATATCGATGAAAGTAGATAAGTATTTTTAACCACTTCTATTATCATCATCATCTAGGTGCTCGAAAAGTCATTATACAAATGTTGATAAATGATGTACAGGTACGAGTCAACTACGTCGTCTCGTACGATATATGCAATCGTAACTCTTAGTTTATCTACCTTTTTAGTTACGTAATTTTTATGAAAATGTATTATATAGTACCAATGAAAGTGAATTTATCTTGTGTGATGTTCTTTTCACATTTACGAATCTCATCAGAACTACTGACACAATTGTACCATGTTTGACTGATATATTAAGTGGACCAAAAAGTATGTAGAATATTTTCTGTTGTATAACTTGTTAACTGGCGAATTATTAAGCCCTGTCTGATCTTAGATGATTTTGATGTTTTGAAACGTGCATTATATGGCAGTAATTTAACTAAATCAAGATGTTGTTTTCTAATTGGACATATGACAAAATATTCTCGTGCATTTTGTAATATTTTAAAATCACATGTTGATATATTGGATTCAATTCGACAATGTTGTTTTGAAGAAGATGCTCATGTTCGAAAGGTAGGGTTCAGATCTACGTAACTAATATTACTTTGATTCTTTTCTTTTTAGATGGCATTTTATTCATTAGGCAACTTTATTTGCACAAATGAGATACTCTACGATTTTGTTGAAGAATTGACACCATATTTAATTAAAGCATTAAATGATACAATATCAAAAATTCGATCGCATGCTGTTAGTAAGTCAAAGTGAAACGAGATTAATTAGAATACACAATTTCTTCTCTTTTATTTTATAGATATACTCGGATTTCTATCATTTCATCGTTTATCAGATCGACTAATTGAAATGAAAGTACCAGAAAAATTACTCGATGTTGCTTGTCATGATACGCACGTTCTAGTGCAAGAGTTTGCCATACGAGCTTTAAAGAGTCTCTCTAAGCATGATCAAGCCCGAGAGGTAAAATATATACCAATGTATTTCATTTTTACAAGGTTTTTTTTCTCGATAGATTCTACGTGAATGTAATGGATGCGAAAAATTATCTAATTTACTAGCATCACTATGTGTCATGGCTGAAAATAATCAATATTTTGAAGCTGATACACTTGTGGAAGAATGTGATGAGCTTCTAAATATGTTAATTGAAGCAGAGTAACATGATTTTTATATTGATCTCACTTGTTTTTATTGTCAATCTAGTCTTGTTATACATCAGATGTTATTATTTTTCTTTTGTTTTTGCATTAACGACTGTTTTGTTCCACTATCTGTGTTTTGCTGTGTGTAGTTAATTTTATGTTTTGAATAATGTGTGTTTCGTAATTGTTGTAGTTTCCTTTCACTGTCTTTTTTATATATTTTGGTTAAACCATACAAATGCTGTCTATAAAAATAGATCCAATCTCTCTAGGCTAGAAGTGTGCGAGAATAAACTTTCTGATTCTCGATCCCACTGGACGGGTATACTTCCTTCACTTCTAATATTGACACATATGAGTGAATGGTATAGTCATTGTACCGTTCATTTTCTTACATGTAAAAAGAGGATATTATAATTTCTTTTGCTGTGAAGCAATTTTAAAATTTCTTTTTTTCTTTGTTTATCCACACTTGGCATACTACTGTGCTAGAAGCCAACCTTTTGTTTCCTATACTTTACAAGATATAACTCTTGCATTTCGGCATTGGTTGGTCTTTGGTGCCGTTTACTGAGAGAAAACGGATTTTTCCAATATATTTAGCCTTTCAAGAGTAATATTGCCTTTCCATTTTGTAGACTGCGTCTTTCTCTACAATCTTACGTCATTTGATTCCAGACAGAGGGAAAATTCCAGTTAGAAAAACGCTAATCTTTGCTCTGTTACTTACTTTGGAATTTAAGTCCGGTGAGATTTCAAAGCGTAATGTCGAGCTAAAGAAAAACTGGTAATGGTTGTTAATAAATAGAATCAATACAGTTTCGAGTGTGTAATAATATGATAAGAAAATATAATTTGAAAAATACTTTCTTTGTACACAAAATTCTGTTATATTGTTGGAAATCGAGACTTCGACTACAAAATGTCCGATGAGGTTTTCGATTTCGTTTTTTCGATATCTCGATAAATAATACTCCAATCAAGATCAACTTTTAATCATTTTTAGACCTAATGAGGTTTGATATTTGGTTAAAAAATGAAACTGGAATATTGCATCGTCGAGGAGAAATTTGAAAATACGCAAAAATGTCCGGTAAGATTTTTAAGAATAAAATGTCCAATGAGATTTCTACATGCTTGTCTTCAATGAAAATAGAACCGAAATTCGATTTATGACACACTATTCGATTCGGCTGAATGTGCTCTATTCAATCACGAAGCTCAAAAGTATTAGTTTAGTAAGTGCGAGTAATGACTCCCGAGAGTCACATTCTGCTAAAATTCTTCGTTTTCGGCACTTCCAATGGAAAATCTACGTGATAAAGTTTTGGGAGCAGCATCATCGGATTTTGATGATCAAGATCTATTAACCCATGTATAATACCTATTATGTATTACAAGTATAATTGTTTTTTTTCGCAGGCAGCATGGAGATTCAGCTGGGTGTAGCGCCGAAAACGTGTTTTTTCGCTATTTTGATTATAAGGTGTCTGGAAAAATGTTTCATACTTAACGTCTGGTGTAGGAAAACTCAACCCGACACTCTGAACATCTTTTTGAAAGCGACTTATTTTTTGAGAATTTTTTGCTAAATGGTGCGATGGCTATGCTATTCACTCATATATAGTCTGACGAGGGAAGATCCCCAAGTGGATTTCTGAGATTTTGACGAAATATATCTAACATAATAGAGTAAAATGCGCTGATCACAAATCTGCAAATTTCAGCTGCCCAATCTAAATAGCTGAGAGATATAAACAAGAGGGTATATACGTTACAGAAACGAGTTTTTATCTACGATTTACGTTCCGTTATAAGACGTATCAGAAATTATACGGTTCGAGGCCATTAAGTTCATTCTTCTGTAGGATAGATAGGAAAATGATGATTGAATATTTTTCTCTAGAACGCGATACAGCACATATAATTATAGGAAGAATTTGAAACTAGTGAAAACCTGCTGTCGATAAAATAATTCATTTTCGGGCTATTTTCATGTACAATTAAAAGATTCTTAACTGACTCAAAATCAATTTGAAAAGAACTTCAGAATTTCAAAATATACTCTATTCTAGCTGCTTTACACATTAATAAACCTGGAAATACGATGAATCTAAAGGAAACACCTTAAATCTTCTTCTAAACTTTTCTGGAAAAGTTTGGTAGGACCCATGACCTTCTTTCACAATTTGAACTACATGATTATGTAAAACAGTTGAAATAGGGTATATTCTTGTTATGTAAAGATTCTAGAGCCTTCCGTAAGGATAGGCTTGTTGTCATGTCCTCTATATGTCCTCTGTTGATTCTCTTCTTTAAAAATCGTCATGCGTTTCACGGTTTTTTCCACCGTATAGCCTCTTCTCATTTTCTGTTGCAATTTTTTAAATTGTTTTATTGGTATTTTCGTCATTTGTTTTGGTTTTCGTAACAATGGTTAATCAAACAATAAGTGTTATGTTATGCTACATCTATGTCAAATGTATGTTTACTAAAATTATAATCCAACACAAGGTCGCTTATTGTTTGTAAAAACACGCACAGCTACAAAATCTGATACGAACGTTCAAAAATACACGATATTTCATTGGAATCAGATTTGGATGTCGACAATATGTGAGGAAGAAAAAGCACGTGAAGAATAAAAACGTATCAATGTATCATATCAGTACTGTTGCTTTATCCATAATTTTCTACTTTATAGACTTGAAAAAGAGCATGATCAGGTTTCAAACCCGAACAACCGTCCTAAGTGAATGTACTGACTCGAAAGCATTCGAACGGATCTTCTATCACAAGTATTCAAGAAATTTTGGACAGTTCGGTAACTGAAGGTACTTTTTAGCATTTAAATACATAAAAGTACCTAGGGTACTTTCGTAATATGTTTTCACATATTCAAAGTGCATTTTAATTAATTAATTTTGAATAGACCATCTACCGGTGAACACTGTGATACTTTTTTATAGCAGACAATTTAATCTTGTACACGACAAGAGAGTTGTATCAAGGAAAAAATGTTGTTAAGGAAAAATGTATTGTTTTTTAAAATAAGTGGTGTTGATATAGTACATGGACACACAAAACAAAGCGGCGACTGACATACATATAGGTAACTTGGTGAAAATTCCTCACTAATTGGGCACCGAATTAGTTATTTTACTAAAAATATTTATCAACATCCTTGCAGAGACTTATTCAGTATACGGATACTTTGGATTCAGAGCTCAAATCTAATCTACAGTCAAAGTCTTGCGTGTTTAAAAACTCGAGAGTAAATTTGCGTTATTGAGATAGATTGAATCTGTCATTGCTAACATCGATATGTCATTTCTTCAACTTCTGGTAATTGATTGGCACTTGCATCGATATCATGTAGAATATTTCCTAAGCTTGAAGGAATTTCTGTTGATGGTTCAGTATTGTAGTTCGGATATTCCGATGAGTTTGAATATAGTCGCGGTTTCTCTGTAGCAAATGCAAAATCTCGTGCATTCATATCACGACGAAATACTAGACGTCTAGTTGGAACTAATGGTACAAAATGATCATACAACAGTTTCGGTAATGGTGCCCATTCATGTCGTTCAGAATGAACCATAGTGTGTGGGACTGATGGTGGTAATGTATCAGCAAAGGACATGTCTGTATCTGTATACTCTAAATCGTTTATATTTATAGCCGCTGGTGGAGGATTATGATTCACCATGCCAGATTGTTCATCGTTATTATCAAAATGCCACGGTGGTTCAATATAATTGTACGGATAATTAATGTATCCATATAAATTTTTCAATTTACCTTGCTTTATTAGATGGTTGACTTGTTCCGATTGTTTAATCACCATGTCAGCATTGGGAAGATTGAAATTTTTTCCACTAACCACTTCCAAATAGGGTTTAACGTCGGGATAACGCATTGAATGTTCTTCATTATTTTCTAATTCACTGAAATTTGTATTATCAGGGAAACGAAGTGTATCGGGTTTATGTACTCTTTCAGTACGAGTTTGATCGTGTTGAAAATCAGCTGACATTGAAAACTGTTGACGAGCTGAACCACCGGATAACACTGTGTCGTTCAAATGATAACGAAATGGATCATCGAATAGTGCATTTATGTACGCATTATCATTATTAGAATGAATATTGTACGGTAGAGTTGCTGCCTCTGTTGACAATTGATTATTAAAATTATTTCTCGTAAGTTGCGGTGGTGTACGATCCATTGACTCAAAACCTGTGTTCATTGTAAATGTTGATAATGGTGTGTTATGAGATGGATCAGTAGCAATAGTCGATCTGCCGTTAGACTGTCCGTTCATCATTTTTTGATTGTAAAAATCGACCATTTCATCTAACATTTGTGGATCTACACCGGACATCGTGTGTGTGAGAGTGTTTTTTTTTCTTTGCTTTATTTAAGTTAGCAGCGACAGGTCATTTAGAATATAATTATAGTTTACGTAAACTCATACAGTAAAGTTTTTGGTGTTCATTGATACAAGCAACACTATGGAGAGAAAATTTGTTGATGCGTATCAATATAGTTACAACCTTACGCCAAATAGAATGAAGAAGAGAGAGAGAGAGAAAACTAGTATAAATAGCATTTTTTCTTTGCGGTTTTGTTTTCTCTGTATGTTATTGTCCTTACATGCAACAATAATTGGCCATTATAGAAGAATTAATTGATAGATTTACAATTCATTAAATGAGAACACTTTTGAATTGACTATCGAAATTCAGAAGAAAACCAGTGGATCTCTTCTCTTGGCATAATTTTATAATCAGTACTACTTGCAAATGCTCTTGATTTCCATGTGTGAATATCTAACGGATCTGTTAGGTAACTGTCAAATGCAGAAAATATATTTTTTTACTTGAATTCTAGAAAACACGGAAAAAGAGGCTATAAAAAATTCATTGATTCTAAAAAAGTGTCTATATTATTATGAAAATAGTATTAACAGTTTATTAATGGTTTTTAAATCGAAACACTTGTTGTTTGATTAACCATTGTTACAAAATCTAAAGCAAATGAAGAAAATATCAATAAAACAATTTAAAAAAATTGCAGTAGAAAACAAAAAGATAGCTATAATTGTGTACTTCGAAAATAACAGAAAAAATGGTAAATAGAAGACGAATCAATACAACTACCTGTCTAAAATGTTACATCAAGGATTAACACAAGCACAATGAATATGAAACAATAACAACATATTGTGATAAGCTTGAAGTGACTTAAATAAGATTGAAGAACAGCAGTGTGCAGACAGTCACCTCATACTGTTTGAAAAGTTTAACGAAACAAGAGCGAATGCATACTTAAAGTCTAAAACCTTTCAGAATTTTAGTCAAAATTTGATCACTTCATTTAGTATCTCTTTCAGACAATAGACTAGAGTCAATAGTGTTGAGTTCATAGCGGTAATAATTCTAGGAGACTTCCACGTAAAATTTTAGTCAAAATTTACCTTAAAGGATAAAAAAGATTTCAGGATAATGGGATCTATGCCACATAGTAGTTCTGAATGAGTAAATAAATTTATGTTATAACTTACATCTCTTTACAACGAAAACTTGAATTTTTCGTCTTGAAAATAAGCTTCCATATTAATGGGAATTTTGACTGAGGGTAATTCGATAATCAAATCTGGTTTCTCTGGTGGTGGTGGTAGTCGAATCGATGATCGTTTATTATAACGCTTATTTTGTTTTCTTGTTGGTAAATAATTTGAACTATACTTTGCTGCACCTAGTTGTTCGAAAGTTTGTGAGCCAAATGTTAAAAATTCTGAAGGATGTCCAATATGATGAGACCTTGTTGAATATCCTAGTTCTGGATCAATATAGACATGCTGCGTATCTAATGGTAAAGTTTGTCTTTGAAAATAATCACTAAATGCTGGTACAGGTTTTAGTTGTTTAATAAATGAAGCTGATTTTTTATCAATAATACAGTTTGAAAGAAACTCTTGATCAATTGTTCCACCAATTCTTTCAGCAAATTTTAATAATGACATTGTTAATGGACAATTTGAACTTAATTGAAATCGATGTGATGGAAAAGAATGATTAAGTAATTCACAGGTTGGATTAACGACAAGCATGATTGTGAATGAAATATAGTGGCAACGTGTGGTTCACTTAATATAACCCGATTATGACTTAGTGTGCATACACACACGCATAATGATATAACACATACGTGTGATATGATGACACCTCAAATATACGGTCAAATTTAGATCATAAATTTTATTCTTAATAGCATGAGAAAAGAGAAAAAAAGCTTACCTTTCTTTTCAAATAGTTCAAGAACAAAAGATGGATATAAAATCAAAGATTCTAATCTACATTTGATTATTTACTCACAAAGAAATAATCGCATGAACGATTAATATTTCACTAACCATGATGAGAGGTCGATTTAATTAGTTCTAATTGGAAACAGGCATGCGTTCTATCTAAGGATTTTTAGATAATAAACGCGTCTCAGGTCAACAGTAATTTGTCTATGTTATTACTCTTCATTACGTTTAAATTTAATTTTAATTTTTTGTCTCTCATACAATAAAATGAGCAACGGTCTATAGGTAAATTTTAATTCTCATTAAGAATCTGATCTCGTCTGATTACTAGCAGTCCAGTTTAATGACAAATCTTGAAAAATTTATTTTTGGAAAATTCTATGAAAAACCGTTATTTTATCAGCTAATACATATTTTACTTTTTTCTTTTTCCGATTTTTGGGTAACAGTGATGGGTAGTTGACTGTTACAATAGTTAGATTTTGTTACACATGGAGTATTCAATTTTAAAAAAGTTTGATATTAGAATCATGGTGCAAATATCATATTAATGTTAATATCGAGTAATGTTAGTAAAAATTAACAAAAGAATTTGTTATCAGATGCACATGGGTTTGTCTCATTGAAGCAACTTTCGCGGGAAAAGGTTTTGTGGACTGAAGGACGGGAGAGAAATATAAGGCCGTTATTATCTACTTTAAATAATTCAAATGCTTCATCCACTGTCATCAATATAAATCGGCAACTAATAGGTTAATTAGGACAGTAATAACATGCTTCGTATCGAATGTTTATTGGGTAACGGAATCATCAAAATTTCTGAAAATTCATTTTATATAACAAGAAACATTTTTAATGAAACTCACTTTGAAAAAATTCTTGTACTTTTTTAATCGTTGATGGCATAATTTTTCCACAATCTTGATTATTTTCATATACAACTAAAAAAACACATTTTCCCAAACTCTCTGTACGACAGCCACCCGTGCTTCCCATTCTCTAGCACTAAATTGCTGTTGAAAATACAAGAGAACCCGTAGTGAATCCAAGACTGAGCGTGGTCTGATAAAACAAAGAGACTTCTAAATAAAATAAAAAATAGTAAAGTTTTATTCATTGGCGATTACAATCGAAGGAAAATCTGAAAATACTTGTGATAGAACTTATAAAAAAATTAAACATCATCTGATAAACATCGTCTACTACTACAGGGGAAAAAATTGTACGAAAAAACATGACATAAAATTTTCAACAAAAAATTAGAAAAAATGTCAGTACTTTACTCCTTTTTTGACATTTCTTTATTTTAATTCTGAAGTTTTTTCGATATGAGTGCACACAGGCGTCGCAATGACGCTAACAGAGGACTAGAAGGACATAAAGACGATCAATCCGTCTTACAAGCGTGAGATTTTGGAAATGCTTGTCTCTCGCTACGATGTTGTCATGCATGCAAAGAGCATGACAACATCGTATGATGCACAATCATAAAAATAATTTATCTAAAATTTTAGACCAAAATTTTAAGAAGTATTAAATACTTCAGTCTATGCTTTAAAACGTTCAGGATATCCAACTGTTTCGGGAGCATCATTCAGTGTGTCGTATATTTGGTCATAGATAACAATAAGATGATTGTTTTTAATACCTTACATAATTTATTATTCACTAATATTAACTAGTTTAAAATGTTTATGAATTCTGAATTTGCTGCTCTCCATCCATTCTTTTAATGATACCATACTATCTTAATACATACTTTGTTTAATTATAAATCTATCACGAAATTTCTCATTTAGATTTTGAATGTGTCAATCTGAAGTTAATACAGTCACAATTTATTTTATGATCATCTGATGGATGCAGTAGTAAAGTTTAATCTGTGAACTTAAAATAAGTTGTCTTACCCTTTGTTACGACAGAAATTAAAATTTGAGTTGCTCTAGGGAAATGTTTTGATTTTTCCTGTAACATCTACATATAGTATCATGTAGAACGCTCCAATGCTGGCTGCATGATATTTTTTTTAAAGTATTTTTAATTTTCTATGTTCAGTGAACTCTAATCCTCATCACTTGTGTATTTGAAAACAAAAACAGTTTAGACGCTGGATGTCGGAATAAAATAGAAATATTCTAAAATTTTGCTCTTTCAAACCAAGCTACCAGTTCTCCAATTGTATTAAGCTCGTAGCAATCTCTAAATTATATTTCGAGTCAATCCTTTTTCTTGTGTTATCATTAAACGCAGTTTACTTTTCTGGCTAAAAAAATTCATTGTCCATCTCTGTTGGTGGGAATCACATTTAAGAAGATCTGAAACAAAACATCTAACGATTTCAATATTTAAGGAACACCTCAGGAAAAAGCTTTTTTATTCTATAAACAACCTTAATGAAACTTACATATGTTAATGATTGCTATCTAACTAGGCTATGCTGAAACTTTAAGTTCAAAAAGTTGAAGTAAGCCCAAGTTATCATTGCCGTAGGGGGCAAAATGGAGCTTTCAACAAAAATGCTCAGACTTTCGTCTGACGAGGAGTACAAAGATGTGAGTGTTCTCAAATGAAAGTAGACACTTAGATCTAGAAATCTATGGAACAGATTTTTGAATTTCGCTTTCGTTCACCTTCTGCACAAATTTCAAGTCAAAATTTCGAAAGACTCGTGAAACCCGAAATAATATTTTTCAGTTTTCTCGGAACAGGAAGCGAAATTCAAAAATCGGTTTTATATAAATTTTAAACTTAAATCTCAGCTTCAGAACATAAAAAAATGACGATTCTACAATGAAACGTCTAGGAGTAGCATTTTTGCTGCGCCAAAATCATATTTAGAGAAAAACGTTAAACAAGTTTAAAGGCCATGGCAACAGTAGACATAAGATTTAATATACGAGTGTGATGCATAGTAATAAAGCAAAAAAATATGTTATTAGAACATAGTACACTAGGTAAACACCTTCATTAGTTAAAATGACGATATTTCATCCACGATAACTAGGGAAATTTTGTTAAAAACATGCGGACTACTTCGGCGGCTTCCAGAAAAACTCTCAAAAAACCATCAAAAACTGGCTTTTTATTGAACACGATACAGATTCTGAACGAGGAGACTTCAGAGTATCTAACTAAGTAATAATCTAGATTTCGATTTTTTTACGAACATCATTGCTTTCTGAGGGGAGGGGCTTTAAACCTGAATTATGATGCATATACATTGTATCTTAAACATTTAATCGTAAGTGTATGTGTTTATCTACTATTCTCGCGTCTTGACAGTTAAGAAATAATAAGCAATTAAGCAATGTGTACCATTAAAAACTATTAATTTATTCATCACTCAATCGTCACAATAAAAGTTACTATTTATTGTCATTATCGTCTTCATTAGCATCGTTTCATAGTCAGCATTTGAATTGCTCGACTGAAGAAAATGACAACATTAAAAGTATTCACTCATGTGCATTAACACAACGTTTTTCACTATTTGCTGAACAGAACAATGAAGCTAGCATAACATCGACTAATATCCACTAGTAAACATTCGTCTATACAACCATAAAACTAGCGCAAAACAATGCATCTATGAGCTTGCAAGACGATAAGAAAGAATATAATTAATTTTTAAGATCATATTTTTAACGACATTATTAAAAT